TATGTGTGTCAGGCTTAGGGGGAAGTGATTAAGGATGAGAAGACAGAGAAGGATAATGAAGAGGAGAAAAAAAAAATGGTAGATGAGATAGAAAAGAAAAAAAAGTGAACCCTGAAGGTAACTGAATGGGACCAGGAAAGGAAGTCAAACTGTTTGGGCTGTGGACTTCAGAATATGTGATATGTGGTATGTGATCACCTAACCGTGCTACTTAGGAAGTGATGATTAACTGGCTAAACATAATCATGGTGCACAATTCTCTACCTGAATTTTACCGTTACCACCCCCCCCCCCCCCCCGCCCCAGAAAAAAATGTATAAGCACCTAACCAAAGACTACTCTGGAGATTTAAATAGCTATCAGCATTGATGCCACTTCACAAGTGAGATGAAATAAAGCCACAGGCAGGATGGTTAAAAGGGCTGCCAGTGCTGAGTTGCCTGGCTGACTGGGTGTAGACTATTGGTAAAGAGGAGGACCTTGAAATTAGAGAGGCTAGTTCTATCATTCTCCAGCTGTCGGCAGACTTACTGAAATTCTCTAAGCTTCAGCTTCCTCGTCCAGAAAATGAAGATGATCATGACACTGCTAGTGCTGTTATAGGAATTAAGTGAGAGAATGTACGTGGAACATGCAGGTTTAGTTAGCACACAGCCCTCAATAAAAGACAGTGCTTATTACTCGTTATTTACAGATGAAGAAGCAGTAAAATAGCTTGGCTTGGTTTTTTGCAAAACTGGAAAGAATCACACAGTGATGCAATTTTTCCTAGTCTGAAAATAAGGCAAAACCCAATTTCTGTTGCTTCTTTCCTTAAGCCAGTGGACAGTTTCACTATTAAATTCTTGGATTTCATTCTTTAGGAGAGACTTCATCCTGCACAGAACTGCCTGCTGGTGGCAGCAAGCTGTTCTCAACTTTGGTGGATTTGCTGGCATTGTTTTCCTATTCAGTGATTTCTTATTATTGCCAAAACCTGCTCTTTGTAAAAAAAAAAAAAAAAAAATCAGTGCTCTTCTCCCCCACGCAACCTTGCTTATGTTACTATAAGCTTTAGGTTAGATATTATCTTCTAAAACCTAGGTCTTCAGTGAGGTAATACGTGACTGAGATCTGAGTTGGGAGCTGACTCTTTTTCTAGTTGGAACTGGGCTAGCTTTGAACCAGCGGTAACCTACCTGTTGTGGGTATCTGTTGGAAGTAGCAAAGTGGCTGTTACTACAGACACAGGCATTAGAACATGTCTAAGTTATATATACGTGCTCTAATTTTTGTCTGCATTCTTCTTTAAATGCAGATATAGCTTATACAATATTTGTATTCATACACAGTCATGTAGCAGAGTTACTAATTCTCAGGCATTAATTTATGCCAGCCTGGCACTTAGAGAATAAAGCACCCATTTTTATTATTTGGCTTAAAGACCCCTTGAGGAGCACAGAACACATAAGTACAGTGACACGGATACCAAGTCAAAAGCCCAGTGTTGGGTCAATAATATGGAGAGGGATCTGAGCCTCAGAAGGTCTGGTAAACCCCAGAGGTTGTCTGCAAAAATTGTATGTATACATCTGTATGTATGTAAACGTTCATTTATCGGAACATCTCCATAGTTTCAAGCAAGACATAAGTAAGAGGTAACTTTCATTACTACCAGTATTCTTCTTAAGGAATCGTTACTGGAAGAAATATAAGAGAAACCTAAAAACAGGCTACCACCGTGCATGAGGATGTACAGAGCTCATGGTCACCTCCTGCTGCCCATTTCCTGGGTGGAGGTTAAAAAAAAAAAAAAAAAAAAAGCAAGCAAACAAAAAAGAACATGGCCATAGATAGAGGAAGCAGAATCTGCAAGAAGTAGCTTGCCAGGTCCTCACACTTTGTGGTTAGGGACTGCTTGTGGGTTTTTCAACTGGTGGGGATGCAGAGTGTGAAGTTGCACTTTGCTTTATCAAAAGAGCAAAGCGACGAGAGCGTGAGTGTTCCAGGTTTTTTTTTTTTTTTCTTCTTCTTTCTGCAAAGCAAAGATAAAATTCACAAGGAAGTTCTTTGCTCCTGTGCCCTGGAGTTAAAGTCTCTTTCTGGGAGATGCAGGAAAGAGTCTAGGGATGTTGCAAGCGCACAGACCAGAGGGCTGGCTGGCTTCCAGCCAAGCCAGAGCTGAGCTGCAGCACGTTCTACCGGGTGTCTGTTGGGGCTGCGTGGAGGTGGAAGGGGCTTGTCTTCACTGCGTCGGGTCTCGTTAGCGCTGCGCTGCAACCCCGGAGGACCGCGCCTCGTGTTTCGCGGCAGCAGCGGTAGCGTTTCCTTCTAGCATAGGCTCGGTCTCTTGGAGGGGCGATTCTTCTGTGGTCCCTCTGCAGCTCACCTTCTCAGGCTTCGTGTCTAATCACAGGCGTCGCTGCAGTTGCAGCGTTATCCCCCACCTCCCCAGTTTCTGCTGCAAGGCCACCCCGCTTGCTTGGAGCTGATGAGGGGAGCACATTAATTCGCAGTTTCAGTGCCCGGTAGTCAAGCAGAAGCTCAGTACCCCACCTCGGTTCCCTCTTTGCCCCTCCAGCTGAGTCTGTGTCGGCTGAATTTCCTGCAGACTTGAAGGGACGTTGCCCAGCGCGGCTGCGGACTGCAGAGCGGCCAAGGGACCCTCCTCCGCAGGGGCGACCCTGGCAGAGGCGACTTTAAAGATTTCCTGGTCTCTGGAGTGTTTCACAAACATGCACTCATGTGCAAATATCTATATTTTATATGTTTTTAAGTGCAAAAAAAAAAGTGAGTGAAACAAGGGAGCCAAGTTAATGAAGGACGGTTCTCCACTAAATTCTGCCAAAATCCCATCCGTGTGATGGCTGGGTGTGTTCACGCAAATTCTTAACCAAAGGAGGAAAAATCAAACTCCTCCCAGTGGTGGTAGATTGCACTCAGGGTCCGGGACTCGCGAAGCAGCGAAGGCGTGGCTGGAGAAATCCACAGGTTCCCCACTTCGCTAAAGCCAAGCCCGAGGAGGAGCAATTAAATTGCAAAAGGAAAGGCTGCTTGCAGCCTCTAGCATTCCTCTTTGCCTTCCTCTTCCCCGCATCCCTTCAGCAGTTCTCTCTAACCTTGCCCCGCTCCCCTAAGGTAGCGGGAAAACAGTTTCCTGCCCGTTCCCCTCACGCCGCCTGCCCCCAGCGCCCACACACACTTTTGCTCCGTCCTGACTAACGCCTCCACCTAGTGGTTTAGGCTCGCCTGCTTCGCTTTCCTTTGCTGCGGTTTCTAAGAGAGCTCTGCAGTTTGCAAAATAAGTTAACTCGCCAGCGGCCTGATGTAGGTGGGTGGGGTGGAAGGATGGGCAGCACCCCTTAAGATGCGGTGCAAATGACGCTTAAATTTACCGGAGCGATGCTGGGCACTAGGGAAGGCAGGAGAGGCCAGAGAGGGTGGTGCCTTTATACCCAGCTTGGCTGCTGCAGCCCAGACTGCAGCCAGAGGACGATTTTGGAGAATTTCCACCTAAAGAAGGACCCTCACTCTCAAGACATGAATGTGTTTTATTTTCTTCATAACACTTAACGCTATATGAAAGTATGCTAATTATTTACCTGTTCATGTTATTATTGCATGCCTGCCTCTTCTAGAATGTAAACTGCTTGAAAACTGGGTCTGGGTCTACCCCATTGGCCTTTACAACCCAGGTGCCTAGAAGAATTCCCAGCATAGAGCAGGCACTAGATTTTTTGCCCGTCTGGTTGGCTTAGAGACGCGGGAATCAAGGGAACTGGGGTTAGGGTTGTGTCACCTTGGGTAAAAAGCTCTTCTTTCAAAGGATCTCAATGACTCTTCTAAACTGAACGGGCAAGATAATCTCCGGCCTCAAACTGAATAATTCTCTTTAAAATGTGCTTACACTTATCCTGATAAGTGCAATTATAAGGTCGTTTTTATTGAATGCACTCTAGCTGCCAAACACGGAGCTAGACGCTTGGAACTCGCAGTTGGGATCACTTAGCTCTCACGGTTGAAAATACGGTGTCCTTTCCTGGTACTTTTCTTTAAATGTTCTCTGACTTGTACTTCTACTCTACATGTGTTTCTGTTAGGGATGGAGGAGGAACGGGTACAGAGCACCTGCTCCGGGGTCATGGGACCGAGGTACTGGTATTGCTTGGAGCCGCGTATGGGTGATACCCCGATGTATTTGTTGAAGCCGAAGGAGGCGCACGGATGGTGCTGGTGGTCGTGGTCCCAGAGCCCGTTTGTTTCTTGAATTCTAGACGGGCTGTAGGAGCGAGCGCGCTCACTGCAAACTGTTTTCCTGAGACACTGAACTGCTGAGAGGCTGAAGTGGGAGGGTGGAGCGGACGGTTTAATTTCACAGTGTGCTTGTGTTTGTGATACTTGTACATTTTTGCAGTTTTTTTTTCTCTCTCTTCTTTCCTGTCGACTCACAGTTAAAGGGGAGGGATTAAATGGAAAGCACAGATTCCTAAAATCAGATATGAAAAATTAGTTTGTATTGTACCGAGAGTTTATGACTTGAATCCCGAAGTATAAAATGCAGTATTGGCCATTTCCTTCTAAGGCGATATTACTGGTGCCTCCTTCTAACTTGGGTGTGGCCCGCAGGGCTGGATAAAATTCCAGAGTGGAGAGGTCAGAGACTGCGGCTGGCTCCACCTAGCGCTGGCCGGGCCTACTGGGGTCGGGGGTGGGGTGGGGTGGGGGGGGGGGGACGGTACTTAGGAGCCTAGTAAGGGACCTAGTAAGGAGCCTAGTGAGGCTGTGCACGTGCCCGCGGCTGAGGGTGCGAGTGTAACTGGAGGGGCGTGCAGCAAGCTCGGAAGAAGATAGAAGCATGGACAGGATTCCCTCAACCCCATTCCGGCCAGAACCGCGGCTCCCGGGTGTTCGGATTGGGAGAGGGGCCAGGGGATGGGACCTGGAGAAGACGGCGATAGGACCCGGCGGGAGCTTCCTTGGCGGGGAAGAGAACCGGGCGGGAGGATAGGAGGGAGGGAGAGAGAAAAAGGGAAGGTGTTGGGGAGCCGGCGTTGGCACTCGCCGCACGGCAAGAGTTGCACGGCTCCGGCGGACCGGACCTGGACTCTATAAAAGGAGCCCGACCGCTCCGCCACTCACACGCTCCTCCCGGACCGGCGTATGCCGCGTCCCTGCAGCTCCCCCAGACACCTGCCCCTTCCCCGCCCGCTGCGCCAGGTCCCCCAGACCCGTGCGCCCAGCGGCATGGCTCCGAGAGGCGCCCGTGGGACCGAGGTGGCGGCGGCGGCGCGGCGCGAGCAGCCGCAGCCCCAGCCCCCGAGTCCCACCTCTTGCGGCCCCTTCTCCGCGGCGCAGCTCGCCGGAGTGGCCAGCGCGTGAAAAGAAGGGCGGGCAGAGCTCCGGCGCGAGGCGCGGCGCAGCGCGGCTCCCAGATTTCACCCCGCCCAGCTCTGGCGACTGCGGCCGCCGCAGGAAAACTGCCCCAGCCTGGGGAGGAGGGCGGGAATGCAAGATCAGGACCCCTCGCTGGCCTGCAAGATTTGGTCTCGACAGCTAGGAAACTCGTGCGGGCCGAGTCTGCAGATCCCGGAGCGCCCGGTTTAGGAGACGCTTAGCCCCGAGCAACTGGGGTAAGACCTCCCACCTGGCCGATGCTCCCTCCTCAAACAAAACCACAGCCTCCTCCTCTAGACGCCCCGGTGGGAGCCGGAGCGCAGCGGGGCTCTGTGGACCAGCCCTTAGCAACCCGGGGCTAAGACGGGGCGTAGAGAGGAACAGCCAGAAACGCGGCGGCAGCGACGGGCGCCCCGAAGTGCAGGGGACGCGCCCGCCGGCCTCGTCTGCCTCGCCCTTGACCTCTAGGTTCACCTGGGAACCTGGGTGGAGGAGTAATTGAGGAACCCACGGATCCGACTAGCCACCAGGGGACAAGACTCTGGTCCCTTCAGCGGTCCTTTCCTCGTCCTCGTCCGCTCCATGCCCGAGAGCTGCGCTTGGAGAGACATGGAGGAAGCGGGCGCTCAGTGTGCCCCGCCGCTGTCCGTGAGCTCCCAGACGGGGCTTTCGCAAGCCAACGTCTCTGCTGCTCCCTCCCACAACTGCAGCGCCGAGAGCAACATTTACCAGGACTCCATAGCCCTGCCCTGGAAAGTAGTACTGGTCGTGCTGCTGGCGCTCTTCACCTTGGCCACCACGCTCTCCAATGCGTTTGTGATCGCCACTGTGTACCGGACGCGGAAGCTGCATACCCCCGCCAACTACCTGATCGCCTCCCTGGCGGTCACCGACCTGCTGGTATCCATCCTGGTCATGCCCGTCAGCACCATGTACACGGTCACGGGACGCTGGACGCTGGGCCAGGTGGTGTGCGACTTCTGGCTGTCATCGGACATCACCTGTTGCACTGCTTCCATTTTGCACCTCTGTGTCATCGCCCTGGACCGCTACTGGGCGATCACGGACGCCGTGGAGTACTCGGCTAAAAGGACTCCCAAGAGGGCGGCGGTCATGATCGCGCTCGTGTGGGTCTTCTCCATCTCCATCTCGCTGCCGCCCTTCTTCTGGCGTCAGGCCAAAGCCGAGGAGGAGGTGTCGAACTGCGTGGTGAACACAGATCACATCCTCTACACTGTCTACTCCACGGTGGGCGCTTTCTACTTCCCCACCCTGCTGCTCATCGCCCTCTATGGCCGCATCTACGTGGAAGCCCGCTCCCGGATTTTGAAACAGACGCTCAACAGAACCGGCAAGCGTCTGACCCGAGCCCAGCTGGTTACTGACTCGCCCGGGTCCACGTCTTCCGTCACCTCCATTAATTCGCGGGCTGCAGACTTACCCAGCGAATCGGGGTCTCCTGTGCACGTGAACCAAGTCAAAGTGCGAGTCTCCGACGCCCTGCTGGAGAAGAAGAAACTCATGGCCGCTAGGGAGCGCAAAGCCACCAAGACCCTGGGAATCATTTTGGGAGCGTTCATCGTGTGTTGGCTGCCCTTCTTCATCATCTCCCTGGTGATGCCTATCTGCAAGAATGCCTGCTGGTTCCACCAGGCCATCTTTGACTTCTTCACGTGGCTGGGCTATGTCAACTCCCTCATCAACCCCATCATCTATACCATGTCCAACGAGGACTTCAAACAAGCGCTCCATAAACTGATACGCTTTAAGTGCACAAGCTGACTTGTCCATTGCAGTGGGGTCGCCTAAGCGGCCTTTGGGGGACCATGCTGTGTCTGGTTCCACAGGTAGGTCGACTCTTTGACTGTTACTGGGTCGGAGTGAGGCTCTCTTCTGAGCAAGGGCAATGGATCCTGAGAAGCCAGGACAGCCCTGCGAGAGCTCTAAAGGAGAACTGTTCAAACAGCTGAGGAGGGGGCTCACTTTCTCCCCTCAAACCCCAGTTTCAGCACCAACCCTGCCACAGCCCATCGCAAGGGGGGTTGCAACTTTCAGAAAATCGATGATGGAAAAGAGATCCCTGCCCTGCTTTGGTATCACAGATGATGCCCCCTAGAACCAGAAGTACTTGTCGTTCTTGTCTGGAGCCTGTCTGAGACATGATCTACATACAGCCTGGCAGTACTTGAACTAGACACTAATACCCTGTGTTTGGGGGAGAACTTTGTGTTACAGCTTCGCTTAAGAACAGTTACTTTGGCATCCTTCAGTCTTCATTCAGTTTTTGTTCATTTAAACTTGATTGGAGAAACTTGTGGATTTGGTGCTTCCAACCCTATGTGTGGCTTGAAGAGTTAACAGCAAAATTCTGATGTTAAGATCTCTATTTTTATTATAATTGAAACTATACGGGGTGGGGGGTGGATGGGGGCATTAAGCTGAAAACCAATGCCTATGATTGTTTGTTGTCTGCAGATCTCTAATTTTGTAATTCCTGTGTAGTGATTGTCAAACCTCATTCCTTAACAACTCAAACAAAATGTTACGTGTGCTAGTGCCAAAGTCTGCAGATTGCTTTTTCCTCCTAATTTCATGTACCTGTCATTTTACACAATTAAATCCCCAGAAATGGGGGATATGATGGGTGACTCAACCCAAGCTGCTGCTATATTTCTTATTAACGCCACTGATGAAACTGATGGGTACAAGATATATAAGTTCCTTTGCAAGAAAAGTATTTTTAATCCCAATTGAGTGAGCTATGAAGGAGACAGATGAGATGGAAATGGTTCTTATACAACTAAGGAATGGGTGGCAACAGGAGGATGTATATTTCGACTTGTAAAAAATCTTAAATGCATGAGACTTTTTTCTGACAGTCATTTGCACTCTCCTTCCCATCTGTAATTCCTTTGTGTGCTAACGTATAAAGGAACCAATAGAACTAGCTCCTTTCTCCAAAAATCTTCAAAATAGTAAAACCTCTAAAAACCATGTTAAAAATAAAAACCTGTTTCTTTTCCCTTGCTATTGAAGTTTGAGTAGGAACAAAGATTATTAGAAAATGACATGCAAGGACTTTCAAAAAGCTTAGAGAAGCTAACATTGAGCCTGTTTTCCTGTAACTCACGGAACCAAACCTCAGACTTACTGGGCAACCAGGGAACTAACAAGCTTTTGAACCTTGGAAATTTGTCATTGACCTGACACTTCAATGAAAATACATACTATCAGTAATACTTTACATTTATCTCTTTTTTTTTTTCAAATTCTAAAAATACTTAGTTGTTATCTCAAATTCACTCTGAGGACTCCCCGACACAGGGCAAGATCACACACTAATAGATGAAATACGCATGATCTGAATAAAATGGAGTAGCCCCTAAGGATTACCTGCATGAAAAATGAATGTCTGTGGAACATTTATTATGCCAAAGAAGATTCACACTCCGTTCTTTAGAGAGCTTTCTGCAGGTGGTACCTTTTGTCTGCAGAAACAAGTTGTCTTTGTAAAATGGATTCACTCCCTGCTTGAAGCTCCCCAGTCCAGACTGTCAGACAATAGATGTATTGAGCTGAAGTACACTGCTTCCCTGCTGTGCAGCCCTTTACTCTGGCGTAATGACTCTTGAAAATATCCTGTTCCAAGATTCACACGTAAACTAAGTACAAAAGAAAATTTTGATCAACATTGACACCTGTCACTGGAGTAAGAGAAAATTGTAGGCATTAGGTAATCCTAAATTTCTGCTGTATCCCCACGTCTGTCTGTTCATTTTTTGTGACATTTCTCCCATGGAGAAATCTAGCTTACTACCGAGAAGACTGTGCACAGAGCGTGATATTTATTTTTATGTTATTAATATGTTTGTCTTTTTGTTAAGGCTTTTTCTTGGGCCTAAGAAGCAATTAAGCCAACTTCTAGGAGCCTAAGAGGGCAAAATTAATTGAAACCAATAGCCATTTACAAGTAATTTCTGTATAGGGCACCTGCAATGATTGTGTCCTCCTATTAACAAAACATGGTCAATTTAGTCAAACGGGTTGTTTGCCACTTATAGATGACCTACCTAAATTTTTGCTTGACTATTTGGCTGGATTGGGGTCATACTGTATGAAGTAGAAGCTTGTAAACCCTTGTAGTTATAAGAGATCCAGACTTCTCATCCACCATCGCACATGATTATGCAAAGTGTATTTTTCATCCTAGGGGTATGTAGTTAAGACTGTTAAGCGCCTTTTCAGTTACTGCTGCCTATAGCATAGTATGGCTTTTTTGCAGAACATTATATGGGAGATGGAAATATTTAACCGTCATAGAAATGAAAGTATATTTTCATTGGCTGTGGTAACAAATAACATTTTCCATACTGTTGAACTGCACAAAATTTCACACAAATATATGAATGTGTGTTCATCCCCAAATACCAATATTGTCTTGTGTTTCTAGGAATTTTAGAGTTTCCTTTCTAAGAATGGACACTGCACCTATGAATGAACAGTTATTGACTTCAACACATTTTCTACAGACCAATCTTCTTCAATCTTCCTCTCTATTATCTTAGTATTATCTTCTTGTGTCAGGAAACCCTGAGTGGACTGTAATTCACTGAAGCAGCAAAAACTCAGATTATGTGTATTTGATGGAGTTAATGTGACTGCAGATTGCCTTTTCCACCTTTCAAAACATGTGTAATTCAAAATGAAGTTTAGGAAAATAATGAAATAAAAGTCCTTTTTTGTGTCCTAAAAAGCATTGGGTGGTAATTCTATTATTATGGAAAGACTGGTTCACTGGATTCTGGGTTGCAATTAGGAGTTTGAACCTTCAAGAGAGAAAAGCTGATGACAAATGATACTCTGGTACAAGTACTGCCACAATTTGAGGGATTTAGTTTATATCCGGAGGAAGATTTTAAAAGGAATTAGACACAGTCTGCAAAGAGGGCAAGTCAGTTCCACTATCCCAGGGGTTTTCCAGATCAGCATTCTTAGAAGGAATGTTTAGTCTCTAGGCTGGGGAATTAGATTCCAAGGTACTACATGGTGCTTGAAATACAGAAAAAGGAAAGGGAGGACCTGAGTTAGAAGCAGACCTGGGGGAGACCTAAGAGGAGGAGACCAACCTATCTGAGCACTGGAGAAGTAGACAGAAAACATAGCTTTTGGAATCGGGAAGTTCTAGGTTTAGCTGCACATAGAGCTTGTTATCGCTGTGTGGTTTGCGCTTTGTTGCAAAGGCTTAGAGCCTATACACGTAAAGCGCTTATCAAGATTTCTAAGCTCTCAGCAGATGATGCTTCCTCTTTAGCCATGATTTTGTCACGGCCTTCTTTGTGGGTGCAGGGCACCTGTAGCTGAGAAAACCTTGAGGTTTTGAGGGCTATTTGAGAAAGCTTGCACTGGGGAAGACCAAACTAGCCCAAATGGGAGAAACATGGCTAAGCTAGAAGCAACTGAGGCTTGGAGCCTTTCAGACTTACCCCCTGGGCTGGCGACACACAGCCAAGAGGCCGAAAGGGAGCAGAAGAGACGGTTTGCTGTGGTTCTGCTGGCCCAGAGGGAACTGCCGAACATTTCATTTCCTGGAGCACCTCATTTCCTGGAGCACCCTCTCTGTCATTTTTTTTTTTTTTTTTTTTAAAGGCTTCAAATGCTTGGCTTTTTTATTTATTTATTTATTTTTGGCTGTGTTGGGTCTTCGTTTCTGTGTGAGGACTTTCTCTAGTTGCGGCGAGCGGGGGCCACTCTTCATCGCGGTGCGCGGCCCTCTCACTATCGCGGCCTCTGTTGTTGCGGAGCACAGGCTCCAGACGCGCAGGCTCAGTAGTTGTGGCGCATGGGCCTAGTTGCTCCGTGGCATGTGGGATCTTCCCAGACCAGAGCTCGAACCCGTGTCCCTTGCATTAGCAGGCGGATTCTCAACTACTGTGCCGCCAGGGAAGCCCCTCTCAGTCATTTTAAAACTCTCTTTTCTCTTTATTGTCCAGAGATTTCCAGTTGTTTCCCAGACTCCAAAGGCCCTCACCGCTTCCATGTCTCTCCTCAGTGTCTCATTTTCCACTTCTCTGCTTTTTTCTTACCTATGGAAAGCCATGATAACCAACGATAACGCGTTGATCTCATATAGTTCTTATTTTAGCCGTGCAGGGCTGATTAGGTAGCCGAGGGTTTTTATTATTATATCAAAGGAAATTTTTAACCGAAACGAATGGGCAAAAGCTTTCAACTTGGGGCTTCTACTGGAGTTTTCAGATGAGAAGAGGCCAGTAGGAGAAGGGGGCGGGAAATGAGGCTTCCAAACCCTTTCTCAAAGCCTATGCTTGAACAGTCCACCAGGGGGCAGAGCGCCTCTGAATTGCGCAGAGGACGCAGGTGCTCACCGCTCGTAATCTGACTCCCTCTTCCTGGACCCTGCAAATGGTATCAACTTCTCTAGACTCAGTGAACATGAAGCTCCATGAGCCAAGATATAAGGGGTTTATCATTTATTTAAAATAGCAGCTTTTTCAGAACTGCACATTCAGGCAGAGGATCCCTAAAATAAAACTAAAGTTTTTCTTCATATTTGCAAACTTAGTTATTTTCTTATTCTTCTCTTATCCTGAAGTAATGCTAAAATCTTAGTGCTTTAAAACATTGTGACCTTTGATTAATGTGACATTGGGTGAAGTCAGACATTAGCATACACAGAATTTATATGCAAAATAGAACAAATTATTAAACTCTTTCAGCATTATGATTTTTCTCATCACTGTGTTTTCTTTTCAGAATTTCATTGGCTTGAAGTTAATATATCCATAGTTCAAAGGTAGAACACTGCCATCTCCCATTTAAAGAGAGGGTTGCTTCCCCCCCCCCACCGCCCCACAGAAGTAATGTGTGTTATATGTCAGTTTTTCCCAGAAGGCAGACTTTCCAGTCTGTGTAATTTTGACATTTACTTTAAAAACAGGTGTTTATAAATGTGAGTACAATCTTACGTATCACAAAAATAAATTTCTGTGTTAGAAAAGGATCATATATAATGAGAAAATAAGTGAGGTTATATCATTGCCATTCTCCTTAACTGTTACTCCCTAGCATTTTTACTGTCCCCAATGGGGAGTTTTCTATGTGCCATTTCACACACCTGTCAGTTAAATTAGACTTTCAAAGTCAACATCCACATTTTAGGATTATACTAGGATTTTCAGTGCTCCCTGAGAGAGACCCAGTCCCTGGAGTTGGGCCAGCTGACAGAGAGATTGTCTTAACACCATTGCAAGTATAGTTTGTAAAAGAAAATGCCCATTTCTTCTTACTTATTTGCACATTTTTCAAAAGATAGGAGAAACGCTTTTCAAAACTGCAAACTGGAAATCTATGTAACAAGAATGATCTTATAATATTTCTTGTACCTAAAGTGAACAGATGGTGATATAAGGAGCCATTTATGGCAAATGCTTAAAAGAATCTACACATGCCTTGTTTAAATGATGCGTGAAGTCATGACTCACATCCTCCCTGACTCTGTAGGAACATTCCACACATTAGCCTCTGACTGGTCATCCCATGTTGGTATAATCAGTTGAAATTTCAGGCTATCTTTTGCTCGCAAGTGTGTTGATGGGACTGCAGTGATAGAGCAGCCCACAAAGGGTAGGTTACTTGGTCCAGAGGCTGTGCCCAGGGTACTTTTTTTTTTTTAAACATCTTTATTGGAGTATAATTGCTTTAAAATGGTGTGTTAGTTTCTGCTTTATAACAAAGTGAATCAGCTATACATATATCCCCATATCTCCTCCCTCTTGCGCCTCCCTCCCTCCCACCCTCCCTATCCCACCCCTCTAGGTGGTCACAAAGCACCGAGCTGATCTCCCTGTGCTATGTGGCTTCTTCCTACTAGCTATCTGTTTTACATTTGATAGTGTATATATGTCCATGCCACTCTCTCGCTTTGTTCCAGCTTACCCTTTCCCCTCCACGTGTCCTCAAGTCCATTCTCTAGTAGGTCTGCGTCTTTATTCCTTTATAAAATAAGGTTCTTCATGACCTTTTTTTTTTTAGATTCCATATATATGTGTTAGTATACTGTATTTGTTTTTCTCTTTCTGACTTACTTCACTCTTTATGACAGACTCTAGGTCCATCCACCTCACTACAAATAACTCAATTTTGTTTCTTTTTACGGCTGAGTAATATTCCATTGTATACATGTGCCACATCTTCTTTATCCATTCATCTGTTGATGGACACTTAGGTTGCTTCCATGTCCTGGCTATTGTAAATACAGCTGCAATGAACATTGTGGTTACGTGACTCTTTTTGAATTATGGTTTTCTCAGGGTATATACCCAGTAGCAGGATTGCTGGGTCATATGGTAGTTCTATTTTTAGTTTTTTGAGGAACCTCCATACTGTCCTCCATAGTGTCTGTATCAATTCACATTCCCACCAACAGTGCAAGAGGATTCCCTTTTCTCCACACCCTCTCCAGCATTTATTGTTTGTAGATTTTTTGATGATGGCCATTCTGTCTGGTGTGAGATGATATCTCATTGTAGTTTTGATTTGCATTTATCTAATGATTAATGATGTTGAGCATCCTTTCATGTGTTTGCCAGGGTACTTTTGTAAACACACCTGGTTGTCTCTTGGAAACTCATGTGCTAATCGAATTTGGGATCGTGTGTGTAGATCCACACCTCCCCCCTGTGACTCACCAGCCCGTTCTTGGTCTGTTGAATACTCTCAGTGGGTTCAGCACCGGGCCGGGCTGTTTTTGTGGAGAAGCAGTTGTATGGTTCTTCATCTTTCTATCCTAGCCTTGCCCAACCTTAAGGTCCCAGAGTCCACTCTCTTTTCTCCTCTCTCTCAGAGACTTTCCAACAGAGTATAGCATGTTGGGATAATCACACATGGGGAGCTTGGAATCGGATGGCACGAAGGTCCCCAACACTTTGGTAGATTTAAACTGCAAGCGTGAGCGTTCGAAATCAGAAAGACGAGTTTAAATGCATGTTTTGCAACCATGAGCAAGCTCCTCTGCAAATGTAATCATACACACCTTTATGTTTGCAGGTAAAAATTAAATGGGATAATGCAATTGGTTCCAACCTTGACTGCATATTTGATCTATCAGGAGAGCTTAAAAAGACCTTTGCTCAGACCCTGTCTCAGACTAATTAAATTATGTTATCTGGAGTAGGGCCTGATAATTTTGTTTAAAAAATTCTCTCTGGGTAATTCTAATGTGTGACCAGGGTGAGATACACTGAGAATAATTATCTGAAACTCTTAGAACAATGCTTGGCACATGCAGGATCCTTGGGTGTGAAAGGGGTCCCTGAATGCTATAGAAAGTCAAGTGCAATTGTTTTTTCACAGTTGTGCTTCTTGAAATTTAATGAGCCTGAGTCACCTGGGTTAAAATGCAGATTCTGATTCAGTAGGTCTAGGGTGGAGCCTGAGATTATGCATTTCTGACAGGCTCTCAGGAAACACCAATGATGCTCACCCATGGACCACACTCTGAGTATAACAGCTTAGTTATAGAGTATCTGTCATTTCCTAAGGAGATGTGTATATATATATCTCCAAAACAAAAGCAACATAAAACTTGCAGATGAGAAAATGTGCTTTTTAATGTACAATACATTGTTTTCCTGACTTGTTTACATGGTATTCATGGCTCAGCTTCAGAAGATGTTGAATGCTTCCCCTTACATGCTTTTCCCCAGATGCTTCAAACCCTGTCTACCCTAAAACAAACAGCTTACTTCTGGATCTT